TTGCCAATGCCTTCCTGGCAAATTTCCTTTGCCTATCTGTCCAAGTTGTACACCTTTTGTTACCTTTGGATTGGCTTTAGCACAGATTTCCTAGAATCTTTAGCAACCCTTTTCCAGGCTTTTAAGTCCGCAATAGAAAATGGAATTTTAATAAGTATTGTTTCTCCCACAGGACTCACTGCCTGCCTTTAGAGAGCTTGTAACACTGCACTCCGAGTTCTGCTTGCTATCAGTTCTTCAGCATCCTCCTTTTCTGACTCCCTCTGTCTGTCTGTGACAAATCGTGCCTGACACAAATCATCTCCTTCTTCTTCTCCTACCCTCACCTTGTCCTTATTTTTACACCGCTGACCAACACTACATGCCGAACAACACTTCTTCAACTTTCCCTTGCCTTTCTTATAGTCTCTTTTTAGGGCTAACCCCAAAGGGTCCTGTAGGGCATTCAAATCGCAAGCTCTCTGCCACTCGGGATGATTTTTAAGTGAGAAGAACATATCAGCATAAGCCGCTTCTTTCCATTTACTTTCTCTCTTTAAAAACATCAGTAGTTGTAAAATAGTATTACAATCTAGTGTCCCATTTAAGGGCCACTTAACTCCATTGTCTAGCTTGTAGTGCAATATCATATGGAGAGTACTTTTACTCTCCTTTCCCCTTGAACTACCTACCTATGTAGTAGGTAGTAGAAATTCCTCTCAGGAATTTCTTTAGACAAGTTCTGCCCCATCTGGCTTGCTCCTTTTCCAACTAAATCTTTCACCACATCTCTGTACTTCCCTTTCCCACTCGGATTCTGGAATCCAGCAACTCTCAGGAATTTCTAACTCCCAACCATGAACTAATCCTGTTATCTTGTTCAAATAGTCTCCTTCTATAGGGACCCCGATTACAATCCGAAACACACTTTTTACAGATTTTGATCAAGCCCCAAGCAGGTGGGAACCCTGGCAGTGGGAGCTTAGCTCCCCACAGCAGAAACAGCCATGCTCCTGGGTGCATCAGTCACTCCACTGTTCCTGATGTCCCCACTGCCCCCTCTGTCCCCATGTCCCCAGTGATCACAGTGAACAGGCAGACAGTGCCATGGACTGTGACCAACCAACGCATTCAGGACTTGGCCAGGGGAGTCAGGGTGGCAGAAGGTGTCACTATCCAGCTCATGGACATCACCAATCCCATGGAACCCCGTTTCAGGTCACCAGTGCTGGTACAGATGGGCACTTCCAGGGGCTGCAGTTATCCGATCCATAGGTTGGGGATCTCTGGGGGCTCAGGGGACATGAAGGGCTGGGGGTTAGGGGGTTGACGTCCTCCCCCCATGGTGGCCAACTCCATGGCCCTCTGTTCCCCCTTACATGTGGCTGCAGGTGTCAGGGACACCTGGAGAGGGGAGAAGAGAGGTGTCACAGTGGGTGGTGCCTTAGAGTTAGCCCACATGGGCTGTGGGGCGGGGGCACAGGAGGGTCCATGGGAGGGTATAAGTATCTTGGTGCATGGGCCCCTTGGAGCACTCTGGCTGTCCCAACAAGCCAGTGGTCGCCAGCACCAAGCTGAGCCTGTGGGGGGCACCCATGGGGGACAGGGGTGACACAGGGGCCACTCCTTACACCCACTCTCCCCACAACCCTATGTCCTGGTGACTGTCAGGCAGCCTGGTCAGTAGAGGCCAAAGGCAGGTGCCAAGGGTGGGTCTCCAGGACTGACACTGCAGGGGATGATGCCATTCAACATGGAGCTGTGCCTAAACCACTGAGGCTTCCCTTCCACGAAGAGTGAAGTCAACATCCACAACACTGCACACTTGTGAAGGTTCTGGGGGTGAGGGTGCTGGGGTACTTGGAGTGTCCAGGAGCCCAGATCTGGGTGCTGCGTGCTTGGAGAGTCCAGAGCTGGGTGACTGGAGCTGGTGGGTTCCAGGGCTGCCTAGTGGGAGCTGGGGTGGGATTCAGGCAGTGGGATTCAGGGCTGATGGGTGCTAGAGGTCCTGGGCTAGGTGATGGAAGCTGGGCAGGTCGAGGGCTGGATGAGGGGGGCTAGTGGCATCCATGGCAGACTGATGGGACCTGAGAGGGGTTCACCTCACATTTCCTGCCCTTTTTCACTCACATTTCCTACACTTTCTCCCTCATGTTTCTCAAACTTTCCACCTGACATTTCTCATGATTTTCTCATGTTTCCCAACCATTTCCCCTAACGTTTTCTGACCTTTTTCTACCCTCATGATTCTACCCTTTCCCCCTTACATTTCTTGCACATTTTCCCTTGTGTTTCCTGCGCTTTCCCCCTTACATTTCCTTTCTCTCCCCTCACTTTTTTCCCACTTTCCCTCTCATATTCTTCTTGCTTACCCCCTCACATTTTTCAAGACTTTCCCCCTCTAGTTTTAGCATTTTGTCCTTCACGTTTCCTTGCCCTTTTTCTCTCCTCAGGTTTTCTGCCCTTTATCCTCTGATGTTGCCCATCGTTTCCCTTCATGTTTCTCACACTTTCTTCCTCACACCTCCTGCCCTTTTCCTCATCAGATTTCTTGCCTCTTTCCTCATGTTCCCCACCTTTTCCCCTCACATTTTCTGGTTTTTCTCTCCCCACACGTTTCTTCCCTCACATTTCTCACATTTTTTTCCCTCACGTTTCCTCCCCTTTTCTCCCCTCACATATTTTCACTCAGGGCAAAGCTCCAACACTGCATTAATAAGCCTATCGTCTATTAATGGCCATCCACACAGAGGGGGTGACAATGACCCGCCTGTCCCGTTCTGCTCCGGCCCAGAGTCACGCGTCGCCGTGGCCAGGGGCGCCCACAAGCGGTCAGGGGGACCTGCTGTGATTCGGCTACGGCTGGCCAGGCCTGGGGCGGGAGGGGCCGGGGAGCGCGCTGGAAGGCTCCTTCTCGCGGGGCTGGCAGTCCCGGCTGCCATCTTATGCGTGGCGACAGTTCCAGCAATGCGGGTCTCATTCTCGTCTCCGGCGGCTGCAGGCGTGGATGCGCTTCCCGGGAGGTACGGGCGCTGTTTCCCGTCCCTGCAGGGACCATTCGCTGCCAAGGCCGCCCCCAGTAGCCGCTAACCAGGAGCTGAGACCTTCCCACCGTGGCGGCCCCCGCTCGCTCTCGCCCTCCCTCTCGGCATGCCCGCCCAATCTCTACCCGTTCCGGTCCGGCAGCGTGAGGTGATTGGCCCGTCGGGCCCGGCAGCGTGAGGTGATTGGCCCGTCGGGCCCGGCAGCGTGAGGTGATTGGCCCGTCGGGCCCGGCAGCGTGAGGTGATTGGCCCGTCGGGCCCGGCAGCGTGAGGTGATTGGCCCGTCGGGCCCGGCAGCGTGAGGTGATTGGCCCGTCGGGCCCGGCAGCCGGAAGCGGGAGATTTGAACGGTAACGGGCTCCGCTGGCGGCTGCGCTGCAGGGTCGCTGCTCCCAGCGGGGTTGGGCTCGGGAGTCTCTTGGTGGCACCGGCCCGGGGACCGGGACTCGCTTGCGCCTGTTACCGGACAGCCCTGGCAGGGTCTGCCCCAAACGTGCCCGTGAGAGCAGCCGCCATCCCCAGGGCCGTAGCCGAGCCCCTTCCCGTGCCAGAGAACGTAAGCGCGGGCTACGATCTCTCCTCGCAGGAGCTGAAAAGAGCTGCCTGGGCCCTGCGGGTCACAGAATGGCTGGAGGTGACTATGCGGAAGTTCTCAAGTACTATGAATTACACGGAACAGTCGGCACAGGTGAGCTCAGTCTGGGAATGCAAACAGGTGTGTGTGACTTGTTCACCCGCCTGAGTATTTATCTGAGCAGAGATTATCTGTTACTGCGGAGGCTGTGGATCATATTTCCAGGGTGTATTTTGCGAGGCAGAAGTCTGGAAATGTAACTGGAAGGTGGTGGAGCGATCACTTTTTAACCTAACGAAAGTGCTGCACATTGTGCGTTTAGGACATGCTCCAGGGTGACTGAGATCACAGGTAAAAAAAAAGCTTGTTGCCATGCAGCGCTTTACACATCTCTGTTTCAAATTCTAGGTGGGTTTGCAAAGGTAAAACTTGCACGGCATCGTCTCACTGGTGAAAAAGTTGCAATAAAAATCATGGACAAACTTGCTCTACAGGTAAGTCAAAAGATGCTTTCTAAGTTGGTAACGTGCTGCTCCTTTGGAGTTCTTGGGAACACGGATGCAACTGTCTCTGTGGGCTGGTGGTGGATGCTGTAGGCTTGAAAGAATGTTAACAGAGCACCAGAAATTCTGTGCCCTCATGTGGAGAGGGCAACATTCTCCAGCTGTAAAACTGAGGGAGTTACAGATATAAACAATAAATGACAACATAAATTATAGTAATTCAAGCAGAGTGCTGATGAGAATAGTAGCAATTGTACATCTGCCACTCTGGGTTTTGCTGACTAGTGTGTGAGAAGGGCAAGTGAGCAGTGACAGAGCTGGAGCTGCTTGAGTTTGAGCAGTTGGACTGTATGCTGTGGCACTTAAGTGTCGTGCAGTAGTCTGCTTACTGTGATGTACAGGCTGTCAAACTAGCCGGCAATTTCATAGCTTGTTGTTGTGTTCTCTTAGGATGATTTGCCTCGTGTTAAATTAGAAATTGATGCCATGAAGGACTTGAGTCACCAGCACATTTGCCGGCTGTATCATGTGATTGAGACACCCAAGAAAATATTCATGGTTTTAGAGGTAAGAAACTGTGTTTCTGCTATGACGAAGGTCCCTGGGTTTAGCTATAGCAGTGGATGGTTACAAAGTCCAAATAAAACAATTCTTAGAAAGTCATCTCAATAACAAGTGTGTCCAAGGTGCTATAGTTTAAAAATAAAGTTGGCAATATGTTCTGTCTTACTGTAAAAGCCACTTCTCATAAGCAAACTAACTTTAATTTTCATCTCATGCTCCAAAAATTAGCACGAGTGGGATACACAGGACCCCAGAACTCCCACAGGGTTGTCACCTCCTGGGCAGTTTCTGTTGCCTGTGACGTTAAAGTGCCGTGGCTACAGCACCACATCAGGCAACAGTTGGGCTCCTGGACTTGTTGGGCCTGTTGCAGGCTGGCCTGGGACACACTTGGGTGCTGCTGGAATAAAGCAGAGAGAAGGGAAGAGTGCCCTCATTCATGTTTAGATTTCATGACTATATTCCGAATGTTTTCTTTCTCCTACTTTCATGCAGTACTGTCCTGGAGGAGAACTGTTTGATTACATCATTTCTAAGGACCGCCTTTCTGAGGAGGAAGCTCGTGTATTTTTTCGGCAGATTGTTTCAGCAATTGCTTATGTGCACAGTCGAGGATATGCCCACAGGGATCTCAAACCAGTAAGTCTGAACAGCAATCATATTTGCACAATTAATAATGAAGACCCAGTTATATTTCTCCATATGGAGTGGGTTCATCTAACATTTTATCTTAACATTTGCTGAGTTTCTACTTGATTATTTCTACTTGATGTTTTGTTCCCCATCTGAGCTGGATGCGTCTGTATCTGAGGAAGGAGCTTCCTCTGAAAGAGAAGCAGAATAGGGCACTCCAGTTGAGACTGGAGCAGACATGGATCTGACTTTGGTGCTTAGGCATTCCTGCTATCTGCTTTACTTCAGCTTTAGAGTTGTGCTTCCTCTCTGTTGTACACACTGTTCTGTTCTCATGTCCAAGGGAGAAAGGTGACCCCACAGTTTAAACGAGTGGAGACTCAACAGAATGCAAGGGGAGGGACATGCCATAGGACCTCTGGCTTTGCTGTCACTGCAGGGGTTTAGCGTAGGTTTAGCAAATGGAACTCGAGACCATTTCTCTTTGAAGGCGTTGGAAGTCTGCATGTTTAAAGTCACTGGCAACTCTGAGAAAAGAAAATTCTTACTGTACAAGCATTTCACTAGGCAGCTCATGAAATCATTGTCTCCAAAGAACTTCTCCCCAAGCAAAACCTTCAGTGCACCTCTTGGAAGGAGTTTTCTCAGCTGGAGTGCTGCCAGATTTATAGGATCCTGTCATACCTTGGGTGGGAAGTGACTTCTGTTGCTTCTGTTTGAATCTGTTGCTCAAAACAGTGTCAGACTGAGCTTCTTGGGGCTTTATCCAGTCACATCTTGGACCTCTCCCAAGGATAAGGCACAGTGTCTCTGGGCAATGTATTCAATTCTCTGCTTTCTCCCTTATGAAGAGAAAGGATTTTCCTTAGTTCCAGTCTTATGCCTCTTGTCATCATTCCACCACATGCTGCTGTGGAGGGGCTGACTCTGTCTTCGTGTCCCTCAATGAAGGAATTAAAAGGCTGCTATGATGTCTACCCTGAAGCTTTCTCACCCACAAAGTATCTCTCCCTCAGCCTCTCCTCACTGAAAAAGCACTCCAGCATCCTTGGCAGGCTTGTGCCTAACCATGAAGCTTACCTTAGTTTGATGTCTTTCCTGTGCTGGGTGGGTGGGCAGAAACTCAATGGGCTGTTCTTGCTGTGGTGAACAGAGAGTGAGTCAATTCCCCCACTCTGCTCCTTTTACACCACCTGGGATATCGCTGGCTCCCTTTTCTGCCAGGGCAGGCTTCTGCCTCGCACTCAACTTCCTGTCTAGCAAACTTCCAGGCCCTTCTCAGCAGGTAGAAGCTCGTATTCCCCATCTAGAATACAGGACTTATTCATTAACAGCTGGTCAAAATCTCCAGAGGAGGGCTCTAGGTAAATTGTAGCTGCTAATGGCAAGAAGAAATAATGTGAAAGGAAATGTTTCTGGAATAACTTGGGTACAGAAGAATTCATTACTGCTTTCTCTTTTACTAGGAAAATTTGCTGATTGATGAGGAACATAATCTGAAGCTGATAGACTTTGGACTTTGTGCAAAGCCAAAGGTAAGAGTGTCAGTTTCTCTCACAGAGCAGAGCTGAATCAACTACAGTGCATACATAAGAATTGCAGGTGTAACTTCAACGTGCAGTGCAGAGCCTTGCATTGGATTCGAGCTGTTTGCCTAGTTGTTCCATTGCTGATTTCTTGGTAGAGTCTTAACAGTGTAAGAAACCAGTAACCTTCATGTTCTGAGCAAAATTTCTCAGATTGCTTTCTCCTCTTACATGTCATCTTTTATCCCAATCTAAGGCAGAGATCACCTTGTGTGTGTAGAGTACCTGCTTGTACTATAAGAGCTATGTTGGTGTGCATTTTTCCCCAATAAATTTCAATGGTATGTGTCTTTTTTTCATAAGATTTGTCTATGTATAGAGATTGTGGATCAAATCAAATTTCCATTTACAAAGCCTCTGGATCCATATGCTTGTACAGAGTTGCGTTCCAAGTTTAAAGTTGGTTTCTACACTGCTGCTCTGTTTGTCAGCTTCACCTGCAAGGTGGGTGCTTGTAAGAAACAATTTGATGGAAAGGTCTTGCCTGGCCCAAAGTCCTTGGATTGTTTTAGCTGAGTCAAGTTAGAGCACCTTGCAACCACCATCTTGATGGTACAATGTCATCTTACTCTGATCTGCTTAGAACAAAGCCCAGGCAAAGTAATTATGTGTTTTTTATAAGGGAGCATTTTTTTGTGGTTCTTTATGAAGTTATTGCATTAAATATTGGTATAAATATCCAACCAGCCTCTTGCCCAGTAGCTCTTGGATCACTGCTTCCCAAGTTCCATCTCTTCATGGTCATGAAGTATTCCTATCACAGGAGTAGCTGCAGAAGAGACTAGTGGGATAACAGGTGAATGAGCAGCTTGGGATCTGCATGTTTGCAGGACACTCATGGCCTTGGAGAGTTTTTGCCTAATGAACCCATATATTATACCAAAGCAAAGTATAAGGTGTATGTAGATAGACAACAGAGGAAAATGAAGCCTCTGAGGCCTCTTAATATGTTGTTACTAGAAGACACTATCTGTGTTAGAGCCAATGGTTCTGTGTTATTGGTTTCCTGTCTTGTTCTAGGGTGGCCTTGATTACCATCTGAACACATCCTGTGGAAGCCCAGCTTATGCAGCACCAGAGCTGATTCAGGGCAAAGCATACATTGGCTCAGAGGTACGTAGAATAGCTGTGGGTCAGGGTGTTTTTTTTCTTGCCCCCTTTGTATTTAAAGGCAGTGAAGTTGAGATACACTCCCTTGATGTCTCTCTTCAATGTCACTGGATAATGTTACCTCAGTGGCTCTCAGAAGCTGTATGACTGACAGCAGTCACATCTTGGAATAGCATCTCTTAGCCATAGATTCTGCAGCTGGCTTATTCATGTCTGACTAATCCTTTGCTGCCTCCAGGTGTTACTCTGTGCTTTAGTGCCCTACAAAAGTAACTTATACTCCTTCCTTCTACCACATTATTTCAAGCAGCAATTTGTTAATTACTCAACTGTTGTTGTGAATTTTTATGCAGTCTCAGTGTCTTGTATACTTTACCTTTAAATTTGTTTATGAAAACTTGGTCTTTGCAGTGTGCAGTGTAGTAAAATTAGAGAGAAGAAAAGCTTGCATTTATCCAGCTTTGATTCCATGTCTGGAATATTAGGGCTTGCTACTTGCCTTTGTCAATCCATCCAAAATACTGTAACTGCAATTCACTCAAACTTAACTGGCTCTACTGTTGGGTGGATCAGTCTTTTTTCCTTTACTGCCCTTTGCACCACTGTCCCTGTCCTCTAAATCTTGTTTTCTTTTTTGTTTTGTTTTCCGTGAAGTCAGTGCTTCTCAAACCTCCTTTTGCTTTATGACTGAAGTGTGAGTTACAGTATAAGGCACATGGACCTTGTCATAACTATACAGAATAAATAGAGGGGCTTTAAAGCTGATTGTAACTGTGCTGACAGGTATTGTAATCAGTAATACATTTCAATACAAAAACCCCTCCAATAAGTTTGATTTAATTTTTGTTTCGGACATCCTTGTAGGTTGAAGGTAATGCAGCAATTTGGTGACCTAAGGAGAGGATAGTAGTTTTACCAGTGCTCCAACTTGAGTGAATTGAAAACTGAATTCAGGTTGTGTGCTTTCACTTGGAATGTGTCCAGACTTAGGGAACCTACTTTTTGAGAGTTGCATGTGCCAAAGGGAGATAGTGTTACCTGTCTCTAAGCCACTGTAGACAGATCAGGTTTGTGAACTCACTCATTTTTATTTTTTAGGCAGATATTTGGAGTATGGGAGTACTGCTGTATGCTCTGCTGTGTGGTTTTCTCCCCTTTGATGATGACAATGTCATGGCTGTCTACAGGAAGATCCTGGTAGGTATCGATGGTGCCAGAATACATGAGGAACAGGCATCTCTAAGCATTATGATAGGCTTTTGCTTTCTGATGGCAGAACCTGTTGAGCTGTGCTTTAGGCAAAAGGCTTATTTGTAGAATTTTGTTATGCTTTGTTACTCTTCTGATCAATATTTTGTGGATTTGTTTCTGTCTTCCATAAAATCTGCCACAAAAGGAACAGCAGTGTTGAGTATGGGCTTTGGGTTCGTCTATCTCATCTTTCTCTCACCCAGAGTCTAGTATGTTTAAACCTCCCCAGAAAAACTCCTTGAGAGTTTTCAAGGGCTACTTTGGCAGGAGGCAGCTAGCACAGGAAGTATTTTTAGCATGCACAACAGTCTGAGCTCCATAAAGTACCAGATTAGTTCATCAAAGAGTGTGGCTTTTTAATTTGGAATTGGAGTGGACTTAAATATCTGGATAGAAAATCCCTAGGAAGCTTAGTTTGAGTGGTTCAAGAGAATGTTAAAAAATTTTAAAAAAGGGAAAAAGAAGGAAGGAAAGGCTTCAAAGAGGTTGTGTAAAGGTGTTGATGTTTAGATGAGGTACCATTAAAATTACATGGCTTCCATACTCACATAGTCATAGAATATCTTGAGTTGGAAAGGAGGCATAAGGATCATGAAGTCCAACTCCCTGCTCCTTGCAGGACTACCTGAAACTAAACCACATGACTTGGAGTGTTCACCAAATAATGCTAGTGTTGAACTGCACTGAGACAACCAATGAGGTTTTAAAGCTTAGTCTGGGAGTGGTCAAAACCCAATCGTGTCACAGGTGTTAAGATGCAGTCTTGCTATTTGCACTCCAAATTTATTTTAATTTTATGTGGCTATGAACTGGAAAGTGCTTGAAATGAGAGCACTTACCCACTGTTCTGGAATTTAATTTCACACATTACAAATCCTGAAATTTATTGTAATCTCAATTTGGACCACTTGCTCCAAGTCAAATCTGCTGTTTGAATCTAATTAGAATCATATGACTTACTTACATGCAATATTTCTTTCCTTGGAACGTTCCACACCTCTTCATTTGGGAATACTTGAATGAATGTCTTTCGAATGAAATATCGAGCTGTGGTGTAAATTCTGTAAAAAAAAACTTATATGTAGTATGATCTTATGCACCTGGTAGATATCACAATTTATCCAGCATTGCCTTCAGTCCAGTAGATGAGAATTGTTTGTTATGTCATGTTCTGTAGCAATATATTAAAACCAAAATGTAGATTATATACATTACTTAGTTTCAGAGTAAAACTGCATTGTAAAACAGCCAATAAATTATTCACAAATAAGCTATTACTAGGGTCTGTAAAGATGTAAGCTAAATTCTTTAACCTATTATGTCAAAGCAATACATACTCTGTTTAGAAATGTAGGCTGCATGTAGTGCAAATGTTTTTTCATTGAGGAACTTGTCTGTAGAAAGAAAACTGCCATGACAAAATGATAAGTACATTATTTGACAATGACTGTTTATTAATCATTTTTTTTGGTCAATTTTCATTGAGAAGTAAATGATCCTTGATGGTGAATTTGGTTTGTTTTTTAGCCACTGTTGTACCTCACCTTTGAAAGCTATTTTCAATTTCCTTCTAAATGAGAATTAAAGAAAACCAAGAGTAAATAATTTGATTGAAAAAAACTCACCTCTTAGGCCTATAACCTTTCTCCTGTCTGCAGTCTAAGATTGAAACTTTAGCATTGGATTTAACCTGTTCAAAAAAGAGTATCTTAATACTGAGGATGGTGTACTTTTAGTGTCTGAAAAGTATTGTTTTCAGTGAATCTTCACATTTCAAAGGGCTAATATCAGTCATTCATACTCCAGCATGTTTGCACTTCTAGAACTTAAGTATTGACTTGATACAATGAACAAAGGCAGTGGATAAAGGAGCAGGTTAGCTGCAAAAGTGGGCAGAGATGGAAGTTTCAAAGAAGCTGAGTGGGTGGAAACTGTAGCAGGTGATTCGAACATGGCATTTTCCTTAATGCAGCTGCGTTTTAGTACTACCATGATGTTTCTTCAAGTCATTCTTAAAGCTAACATGTTCCTGCTATTCTTTTTTTGCTGAGTACAGATGTCACTATTGTCCAAGTACTTTAGCAGTTCCTCCTGATATTCAAGGTTAGTTCTAAAGCTCTTCTTTTCTGCAGAGAGGAAAATACAGTATTCCAAAGTGGCTCTCTCCTAGTAGTACGCTGCTCCTTGACCAAATGCTGCAGGTAAGGGTGTTGTTTCTGCTGCATAGGTCCATAAAGTACTGTTACACAGGTCAAAACACTACCTCACTGAAACATTTAAAAAGCATTCGGTGTTAGAAAAAGAAGTTTAATTCTTATACATTTTTGAAGAAATTATTACCGTTGCCTTTGCTCAAAAATATTTGAGAATAGAAATAATTAAACAAAGTTTAAGTGATTTAACAAAGTCTTTGAACACCTTGCTTTTGGTTGTTTTAACGTACTACAAAAGAAAAGCTCTTTTATAAATGAAGGTAAACTTCCTGAATATGTATTTGGGCTATACCTAGGGAATCTAGCCATAATGCTGCATATCCCTAAGACATCTATTGTAACTTGACAGTTTCTATAACTGTCCTGCATAGCTCATATCTTTGAGTGGGAGCTTCCTTTTGAAGAAGCTCTGAAATGATAGTGGTGTCCATTTTTACCCCTAGCCACCTATTTTGTGTAGAAGATGAATTGTTTTTTCACTTCTTCACAACTTAAGTATCACTTTGATTTTTATTGCCCCCCAGGTTGACCCAAAGAGGAGGATTACAGTCAAACACCTGTTAAGTCACCCTTGGCTTATGCAAGGCTATTCTGATGCTGTTCAGTGGCAAAGTAAATACCCAGTAAGTACTCTGGCCAGATGAATAATAAAGTGTTTAATGTAATCTTTATTGGCTTATTACCACCCTTACAGGATGGGGGTGTCAAGGCATTTCTTCAAAGATGAACTTCGAAATGGCCATAGTTCCTTTCTGATTATTTTAGCTGTCAAAATATTATTACTTGCTCTTGATTTCTCTTGTGGAGAAATTTCAAATGTGTTTTCATCATATTCTGCAGCTGAATCTGAAAAATAACTGAATTTTTGAAGTATTTCTTCATATGAATGACCAGTTCCTTCTCCAGGCTGCTTGGTACTTTGCCTAAGGTGAAAACACAAATATTCTGGAAAGCATGCTAGACATAATTATGGTTTATCTTGTATGTAGTCCTCACTGAAAATGTGAATAAAAGATTCAGTCTCATTGAAAGAATATTCATCCTGTCTCTTTATCACTTGTTTACTTGTGTGAGAGATGAAGGCAGAGGAAAAAAACAAAAAATCTGGTTGTCAGCAGAAACTGCTGAGAATCCTGTATGTTGGCAGCCAGTGCTTCCCATTGTCACCAGATGCCACTGTTTCTCTACATAAAGAAGAGCTTGACTGTGCTCGCAGTATCAGTGCTACTAGCTGGCTCTGGAAGAGATGTGCATGTCTAGTAGCTTCAGATATTTACGGAGAGATGAAAGAACAGCCTCTTTTCTAGTAAAAAATCTCACCACCTCTTGGGTGGCTTACTTGAATTCACAAGCTCTCACCTGTGAGGGGTCAGGCTGGGAAGTTGTATGACTTTTTCAGTCTGCTCCCTACAGTGTTTAGTTATGATGCTGAACATTTGAAAGACAAGATCTAAAATCATCATTGACTCTTGACTCAGCCCACTGGGTTTCATGGCAGTGTCACTGTGAGGTGTGGATTATGAGGCAACTTGAAAACCTTGTTTCAATATCCATTGTGTTCTTACAGTTGGGACATCTTGACGAGGACTGCGTAACAGAGCTTTCTCTGTTTCATGAGCAGAGCAGGGAGACTATAATGGAATTAATAACAGAGGTAAGGAGTATATATATCAGTAATTTACAGTAATTAATGATGGTAGTAAAAACATTTACTGCATTATCAGATACTGTGTTATGTATTCTCAAGTATGACATTTTAAATACTCTGTAGATTTAAGGAGCCCCTGCAGAACTCTAGAATTTGGCTGTAGCTTGTAACTACAGTTCTGAAGTTCAAGTTGGTTTATTTCTTTTTCTCCTTTAATTGTGCTCATGATGTTTCCTAAATCTTACTGTTATTCCCCATTATGGTAAAATCCTTCTGCATGTCTGAAAGTTAAAGTAGGTTTTAAGAAATTTATAGTTGAACAACAGATGCCATTTGCTGGGTTAGCTCTTTGCTTTGAAATGGTTCAATAAGTAGCAGGTGAAGAAAAAAAAAAGAGAAAAATATCAGAGCAACATCCAGGTAGACTACAAAAGACATATTTTTTTGGAATTACTCTTCACAGTTTTTTAAAAGTAGTGAGTCACTTTTGACTACAAATGACAGAAGTTGAACTGACTACTTCTAGAAAAATTGTGCAAAGGTTAGCAATAACATTGCAAGCTGTAGAAGAGACTTAAAGCATGATGCATGCTCCAGCTTTTACCCAAATCTGAAAATTCTTCCTTAAAATTGAATTTTTTGCTTCTTTGTAATTGTTAGCAGTGACAATAGTTTTCTGGGTTTTTTTTTAACAGTTGGGTTTCCCATGTAACTGTAGCAGAAGCAGACTTGTAAACTGTGTGTGATACTTACAGTAGATTTGTGGAGTTGATGATCCTTGTTTTTCAGTTACAGCAAATAATCAGCATAATTCGTCTACATGGGGAAAAGTCCTTCCAAATAGCTTAGTGATACTTGCATAGTCCTTTACTGAAGGACTCCTAATTCCTTATAACTAATTCAAACTAACTGTATATGCTGCAAACCTATCAAACATTGTGCTTGTGTTCCTCACACAAGCAGAGCTCTGAAAATCCTGCAAAAAGTTGGTGCTATTTGTAGGGGAAGAATGGGCAGGAGGGACTTCCAAAAAATCAAATGTCTGGTTGAAATATTGGATAAACTGAATTACTAGGTTTGCCATTCACTTCAGTAGATAGATCCTGACCCCAGCATTAGTTTTCATGCTAGTGCATGAACTGCAGACTAACTTGCAACGAACCTCCATAGTGCCTGTTTTGTGATCTCAAACACATAAAGTGAATCACCTGAAGTCTGAAATTACACTGTGATCCAACGTTCGGGTTGCACACCAGGTGGAAAAACTTGCAGAGATGCAGAAATTTTCAGAAGGCTGAGCTTGCCTGGTATTTGCAAGGTTTCCAACAAGGAGATTAAAATACTTTTTTTCTCTCCCTGTCTTGCCAGTGGAAATATGACCAGATGTCAGCAACATACCTCTTGCTTCAATCCAAGAAGGCTCGTGGCAAGCGTGTTTGTTTAAGTGTTCCACGTGTAACAGGGCATGCCAGAACCATGCCATTGGCAGGCCTCAAGGTAAGCTTGGGCTCAGCAGGACAGCATCCTGGTTAAAATCCTGCTCTGCAGTGACAAAGCTCTGCCTGGGGAAACATGCTGGTGCCCTAAATATCATTTAAGAGAACACTCCATGCTTGTCTCTATGTATTTTTGTACCTCGGGTTGCATTTCACATGGCTTAAAAAGGAAAATCTGAGATATCATGGCATGTCACCTGGCCAGCCTACTTTGAGATGACATGTGAGCTGTTGGTCAAAGAGCATCTGCTTCCTTTGGGAACATAATCCTAGAGAGGACACTCTTTATTTTGAGTAATGGAAACGTTGCTGCTATTTTTCTGATGATTGAGATTTTCAAGCAGTTTTGTATATTTTAAGGGGGTTTCTATTCCTGTAGTTTGATAGCATGCAAATAGGACACTTCAGAAATTGGCCAAAGTTGCTAAAGAGCTTGAAGTGTTGTATATAATATGCAGCTATATGTGCTGTTGGTGCTACTTGTCTGTTAGACAAACTCAGAAGCATTCAGTGGAATCTCAAACTTACCATTAGCCATTCCCCATTGAGCTGAGGTATCTGTGTGAAATTGCCTGAATGTGCCTCTGTATAGAGGCAAGCGCTCAGAAGAAATACTTTCTTACGTATCTGATTCAGTTGCATTTAAATCATTTTAGTTAACCCATACAGCCTCTTTGAGATTAGAATTGTAGGATTATCAGAGTTGTGTAACAGATTGTGAATCCTAAGTGTTTCTCAGGATGCATAATGTGACTTCCGTGATCATGGTAGGTTAGCCTTCTACACTCCAATGAGTTAATGGAGGTTCTCTAGGTTCAGTTGCGCTGATACTGTAAAGTTACTATATCTCTAGTGATGTCCTAGTTAAATTGCTCTGGCAAATGCGACTAACATATGCATTATGCCTTCCCAGGTGATGCTGAAAATCACATCTACACAATACAACAATCCATTAATGATCCAGCAGCACTCGGGACACTTTTAACTTGCTCGTGTGTAGATACTGTGGGTGAATATCAACTGAATTTGCCAAAACACCCACCTAGAAGAGCTCTCTAGCTGGACCTGGTCTAACGTGAAAACAACCAAGCAAATAGAACCTTTAATTCAGGCATTTCTGAAGTTGGTGGCACAAGCTTGTATGTAATACTTCTTTATTTCAAGCAGTTTGATATAGCAGGATATTGCAGAAAATTCACCATGCCATGAATTTTATCTGGAACACAGTAGCCAAGGTATCCTAATCAGGCATTCATGTTGTAATGGAACATGATTTCAACTGAAATATCAGGCTCCTAGATTTTTGGCTGTAATTAGAAGCCCTCTGGTACGGGCTTTTGACTAATTCATCGTGGTAGCTCTGGCAGCATACCAGTGAGTTCCGTCTCTATTCCAGTAGCAATGAGAGATCTGTTCACTGTGATATCCTTGATCATAGGCCAGAAACTTACCTGCCAGCAGAACGTAACTTCCTAAAATAGTATCCATTCCAGCCAACGACTAGCAAATGACTGTGTGCAGTTTCACTGAAGTACTATGGAACAAGTCATTGGGAAAAGTTTCCTGAAAATAACAAAAGATGTTGGAAAGTAAGGATACCTTGATACGCATCTGATCATATGTGATGTGAGCCATGACAGTTAACAATCTTGGCTGAAGTTATCCTTGTTTTAATGACAACTTTTCTGGGGAGCTACCCATCAGATGAAGGATTCCAAGTATGTTTTGGATATATGTGTTTACCAGCCCCCTTTCAAACTTTGCTCTATTCTTTAACAGTTAGGATTTTTGGTAAAAAGAGACTGTAGTCCAAGCCTTGAATTCAAAGGTGGGTATTTGTGTGAGTTGCTTCTCTTCTTGACACGTGTAACGAAAGGTGACTTGGTAATGATGCTTTGAGAATAGTTTCATATCTGCTTTTGATACAAATGACAAATCCACAATGATGATATTAAAACTTAGGTCACCATCACGGGAACTTCCATTATCAGGAACTTAGAAATTAGACTTAGATTTAATGGTGCTTGTCTGATGAAATTCTACTTCTAAGCATGCAGTGGAATCTCAACTGAATCTTTCTTTTCAGTCTGAAAACATTGTGACGTGTGAAGACTGCAATGAAATGCCATCTGTGTTTGGATCCATGGAATTTTCAAATACAGCGTCACTGTTTAAAGAATCTTCTTCAGAAGAATTTTTTCTAAATACTCATGGAACAAAACAGGTGTTTGATAAACTATTCTTAATCCAAAAACAATCTCACTGAACATAAAAGTTATTGTATATTTAAATGTTTTGTGGACCTTAGCCAAGACGAGGTACAAACTTAGTAATGAAGTGTTTTAAATATATAGGCTGAACATATGTTGTGGCTTCCTCTAGCTGTAGGTCATGATTTATTTGATTATAACTTGACATCCAATTTGCATAAAATTAGCATCTAGAAAATGAATAAATGAGGATTTTAAAACTGACTAAAAAAAATACGATGGAGCAAACAAGCTAGGCTAGAGCTGCACAAGTCTCCCAAGAAGTGCAACCTGTCTGTGTTGAACAAGAAAATCCAATTAAGCAATTAAAATTTTACAATTAAGCCAAATGAAAATTCTTAGCTGTGTTTCAATGAGTCGGTGACTAACAGTTTTAAATGTGCAAATGAAAGAGTTTAGAAGAGCAGATAAAGTAGTGGCAAATTACTTGAGAACTTTATTAGCAAGTTATAGAGGGAATCAGAAGTATTGAAGAGTTTTAAACTCTTTTGCTCTATGGGCAGGCATTGTATGGTATTTTTAACCTGCTTCAGAATTTCCTTTTCTGTAACATTCCTGAATGTGATCAGAATACAGCAAAGGATGCCTCTTTTCTTTTTGTTACATCTTCTGTAGCATTCAAGGCCTGATGCTCAATTGGATGATACGGAATTCATACTGTCAACTCCAGTGACAAGAAAAGTGGCATCTAAGAAGCATAAAAACAAAGAGAATGTAGAGACAGAGTCAGCTTTAAGAAATGAAATGCCCTTTGCACTTCCTGCTCCAAGGACTCCTTTTGTGAAGAGTCAGATTGAGACACAGGAACAAGCCATACCCTCTCAGGCACCTGCCTTTAAAGGTACATGGAATGTAACTAATGACAGCTTAAGAACATATATGTGGCTTGGGAATTACTGGAATTCAAATATGAGCACAATACATGTGCATCCACACACCTGTTTCTGAAGACTTTTTTTGCCCTCTTCACCATCTTGATTTTTCTAGTATGTCTGGTAGAGTGCTGCAAGAGTTTTAACCATCCATCAGGGCATGTTACCTGTGTGCTGATTACAGGAGTCTTTACTGCTCACAGTATCACATGTGAGTGCCTTTTGACGCACCCTAACATGGAGCTAAGTGTTGTGTTCCTAAAATTTGCACCTGGTTCTACTTTTCCACGAAGGCTGGGAACACGATTTCCCCAACACTCCAGTTTTCCTTTGTGATTACCTTAAGTGAAAATAAGGGTTCACTTTTGGTCATCTCCTTTTATTGCTGCTTCTAAGAGAAATCTTGGATTTCTCATAGTTGCATATCAGCATTTTCACAGGAACAGTCCATTGTAGCATTGAAAATACTTCTGTTAACAACGTATGCATCTTGCAGCTATGCAATAAACCACAGAAATCTGTCTACATTATGTCAGCTTTTCTGAGTTATAAATTTCAGTCAGCCTATCTAGTCATGTACATATCCCGTATGTAGGTTACAATTTCCTTCAATGACTGCCATAGAAGTCTTGGTGTTAATACTGTAAATGCTCTCTCTGTCCTTCAAATACCAAGTGTTCCTTGCAATAGGAGAGTCATCTGTTCCAGATTCTAAGGAACATTGTTCAGGAACAGTAAGTCCTCGCAGGCTAATTCAAGCAATAAGGGATCTTGGACCTACTGCTGTTTAATGTCATCCT